AAAGAAAGAAAGAAAGAAAGAAAGAAAGAAAGAAAGAAAGAAAGAAAGAAAGAAAGAAAGAAAGAAACACTGCAGATTTTGGTGTGCCTCGTTGTAGCAGGAAGGTTGAAAAAACTAACAAGATTTCTGAAACAATAAAAGAAAAACAGGAAACGGAAATATCTCTATATATTTTGAAATCAGTTTAGTTTTCACAAAGAGAAAAAGCCACTGGCTGCTTTTTATATGGCACGAGTTAAAAACAATACAATAAACCTGTTACAGTTTATGACCATGTTGAAAAACGCCCACTAAAATCTTCATTCTATTAAAAACTGACATCATTACCTGACGTCTCTGATAACACAGAATTACAAAAGAAATTATGCAACATTATTTTTTACTTTTGAAGCACAAATTGCATAATTAACCAATAAAAAGCTGATGACTCTCAACCAGAAGTGCATGCAAAAATAGGACAGTTGTTATCACACTTATTTTATGGTTTTAGAAGCTTGTGGGGAAAACGTACAAACCAGCATTTTTATATATGCAGATTCACTGTGGTATTGTTCCAGTCTGTTGTTGCTTACAACACAAACCACAGTCAACTGAAAAAACATGCAAATCCGGACATTTACAGGAAAAAGAAAGTCTTGAAAAAGTCCACTTCAGAACCTGTTTTTATATCTTATTTTTAAAGAACAGCGCTGTAGTGTTAGTTTGAAGTTGGTGCATGTCTAATCTAACAGCAGAAGGCTTATCAACATGTTGAAGGAAGAATCAGCATATGTAATGGTGCAACAAAGCTGCAATCTCTGCTTTTTTAAAACCTATACCATATGGATATGGTGCCATACTGACTGTAAAAAAATGCATGACCACAGGTGGTTTAATAAAAATGTTCTGGAATACAGTGTGACTACTCAGAGAAAACAGCTACAGTCGAGTCAAAGACTGGAACATGTTGGAACAGAGGGTCTGCATCTTAAACAAATAGGTTGGATTAATTTGCCAAGATCTTTGTCTAAGAAACAAAAAAAGTATAAAACTTACATTTGTACAGATATGAACTATGAAATTATGTTTCTGCTGATAATGCAGCAAAATTGTCAGATGAAATGTTTTTCAAAAAAGGAGAAGCCAGAAAAGCCAAATGAAATAAATATGTGCAACCAGAGAGGCATGAGGAAATACTTGCCTCAGTTAAATGTTTGGATATTTCATGTCCCAGTGAACTGAAATTCCAGGCTTTGGAAACATTTATTCATAGACAGCTTCTGAAAACAGAAGAATCAGAAATCTATATGTCTGCTGCTGTGGTGACAAAGTGCTGCTTGCAGTGAGCCTGCACCTGATCGGACGCAGCAGAGGATTTCTTGCATTAACTAACACAATCTCACATACCTCTTGAGAATCCTGCTGCTTTTCAAGATAAACAACATCAAAGCCAGGAGAAAATGAACCCAAAGAATAGTGTGTCAGCTCTCAGGGATGGAGAAATTGAAATTCACGAGCCTGTGGAGGGTTTGGGATGTAAATAACTTTCCAACATTATTCACAGTCATTGCACTTTATTGCAGCAGTGGTAACTTGAAGATAAACTAAATTACACAAACAGAGTTTAACCCTGGGTGTGTCTTCAAGTTCAGTTATGTTTCTGAATCATCCCTCAAATCTTGTTTCTTCATCTCAGTCAGACTTTTTTTTTTTTTACAGTGTTGGCTCTGGAACTGACAGGTGAGTTCGTCTCAGATGCTGAGAGGAAGGAGGAGGAGGAGGAGGAGGAGGAGGAGGAGGAGGAGGAGGAAGGATAACACGCAGCTGGCTCGGACACACATTTTACTTTGTGGTGGAGAAAGAAGGGAAGCGCGCCGCTCCTCTCCATCACATTTCACTTCGGAGACGCTGACGGGGGAAAACAAAAGGAGCCAGGATGTAGAAGTCACCAGGTAACCTTCACGTGCATCGCGCCGGTTCCTCGGAGCGTTTTGCTTTAAACCCGGAGGGCAGGTAGTTGTGCCGCTTCGCTTGCGTTTCATCGGAGTTTTTGCGATCGATCCACCCGGGAGGAGAGGTGCCGCTCCCGGCTCAGCTCGCTGGATGTTTCCGAGCTCTTATCCTCCAAAAGACTCATTAAAACTCGTTGGTTTTTGGTCTTTTTTTATTCTAATTAATGTTCATTTCCGCGATCTTTCGGTTCCCTAAAGCCTTTATGCCAGGTAAGCACAAATTCTTGTAAAAGTTATTATTTTTCAGCTCAGGTCATGAGGAAATGTCTTTGGCGCGTGTAAGATTCATATAGACTTTTACGCGTTTTTACGCACAGGAGCTTTTAAACTCCACTGACACATAGATCAACCATGTAACTTGCCTAAAATATTTTTGAAACAGAAACAAAAATAAAACTTAAAACACATAATGATTTTATAACAGTGTAGATTAATTTTCAGCAGGTTCTTTTCTTATTTATATTCAACAGGTTTGGTTCAGTTCTCTGCAGCATCCTGCTGATGCAGATCAGATTTGAACTGATTTCTTTTTCTGCTCATTTAACTTATGAACAAGCTTCAGCTGCTATTTATACTTTTTTTCTTCAAAACGTTTAGCATTTTGGTTTGAGTCTGTTGAATTTAAACAAAAGATGCAGAGGGTGACTGGAAATTTAATTACGGTAAGTCAAAATGGGATTAGGAGTTCAAAACATCGTGCTGATCATTTTGCAGCAGCAAGCAGTTCGAGGCTGTTATCAGTGACCTAAATGAACAAAAGTGCAATTAGTAACGCTTATGTTTTTCCTCTTTATCTATTTTTAAATGATTCTTAGATGTCAGTTCATTCTGAGGACAGCCAAGTCTGAAGGCGAGGAAGACGACTTCTGCTTCACAATGGCAACAGGAGTAGCAGCATGGCTTCCTTTCGCCAGAGCTGCAGCCATTGGCTGGATGCCTGTGGCCAACTGCCCCATGCCCATTGCACCCAGAGACAACAGCAAGAAACAAGACGAGCTGATCATCCTCAACGTGAGCGGCCGCCGCTTTCAGACGTGGAGAACGACGTTGGACCGCTACCCAGACACGCTGCTGGGCAGCTCTGAGAAAGACTTCTTCTACAACGAGGAAACCAAGGAGTACTTTTTCGACCGAGACCCAGATGCCTTCAGGAGTATCCTCAACTTCTACCGAACGGGGAAGCTTCACTACCCACGCCACGAGTGCATCTCAGCCTATGACGAGGAGCTGACGTTCTTTGGCATCATACCTGAGATAATCGGCGACTGCTGCTACGAAGAGTACAAGGATAGAAAAAGGGAGAACTTGGAGCGGCTGCAGGATGACCAGGAGGAGAACAAGGACCTGAAGCAGTCCAACTTAAACTTCAGAGAGACCATGTGGCGCGCCTTTGAGAACCCCCACACATCCACCCTGGCCCTGGTCTTCTACTATGTTACCGGTTTCTTCATTGCCATCTCTGTCATCACCAACGTCGTAGAGACCGTCCCCTGTGGCTCCATGGCCAACCAAAAAGACATGCCTTGTGGCGAACGCTACACAGTGGCGTTCTTCTGCATTGACACTGCCTGCGTCATGATCTTCACGGTGGAATACCTCATGCGTTTGTTTGCCGCGCCGAGCCGCTACCGGTTCATGCGCTCCGTGATGAGCATCATCGACGTGGTGGCCATCTTGCCGTACTACATCGGCCTGGTGATGACCAACAACGAGGACGTGAGCGGCGCCTTCGTGACGCTGCGCGTGTTCCGAGTGTTCCGCATCTTCAAGTTTTCCCGCCACTCGCAGGGCCTACGGATCCTAGGTTACACGCTCAAGAGCTGCGCTTCGGAGCTGGGCTTCCTCCTTTTCTCGCTCACCATGGCCATCATCATCTTCGCCACGGTCATGTTCTACGCGGAGAAGGGCTCCAGCTCCAGCAAGTTCACCAGCATCCCAGCTTCCTTCTGGTACACTATCGTCACCATGACCACTCTGGGGTGAGTAACAGACTCGTAACATTCTTAGTTAAATCCCATTTATATTGGGTTTTGGAATAAAACAGCCATTTATGAGTTCGATGAATTCACAAAATTGATTTGTTTGAAGTTTGGCAACAAACTGAATAATTTATGAAAACCACTTTGACTTTCAAATGAGCACTGAGACAGCCTCAAACACTTTGGTGTGCTGCGGCTTAGAGACTGACAGTGTGAGTTATCACGGGCAGTGTAGCATTTATCTGTCAGCTGAACACTTGTGGCATTTTGTTTGTTTCCATTAGTGCACGCTGAAGGGTGAGACAGTGTTTGAACACTCTCTGCCATACGATGCTCACACAGACAGTACAACTGATCTGAAGCTGTGTTTAAAGTTTCTTTCAGCCTCATAGCTTGAGATCAAAAGCAAACATGAAAATGCAGTAATGGTTCACTTTGATACTGGAAATGTAGAGTGAACAAGTTTGAATTGTCCTATAGTGGCAAATGATTTGCCGGCCATGGTGTTGGGCGTAAAGCTGCTTTGTGAGGAAATAATTGAAGCGCATCAGGGAGAGAGAGCTCTCCTCTGTGTGTCTGGAGGTGAGGTGTCCCCTGAGAAATGCTCTGTCACCTTTATAATGATGCCTCCCTGCTCTTAATCTTTCCCTCAAGCTCGCTCAGAATCAGTGCCATGAATAGGAAGGTGAACTTGAAGGTGTTCCTGAAGTTTGGCTGAGTGGCATCTAATGATGCAAGAAAAGAATAATCATGATTTCCTGAAAAAGCAGGCATTCTTCTTAGCTTTTTATTTATTTATTTATTTATTTTGGCAGACAATGCTGTGACTGTGAATGAGGTGGGGGGGTGCCACGGCACTTTGGTTAATTATGTTGATGGTTTTGGTGTGATGGGGGACAAATCTGAAAAGTAAAAGGAAAGAAAAATGTTCAAACAAATTACATGTGAAACTTAACAATTAGACTTATTGTCAAAATATGTGTAAAAGTATTCCCACAGTTAATTAATTAGTCTTTCTTACAAAATCAAGCAAATAAGCTGAAAACAATCATTCAGTTGTTGTACGTTTTTCTTGGAACTGAAAGTGTTTAGCTGTTTTTGCTCACTGCAAAAAAAAGGTGGGGAGATAATGTTTTTGTCTATGTTTGTGTGTCTGTCTGTTAGCAAAATATCCCATAAGCCACTGGGCAGATTTTAATGGCACTTAGTAGCTGTGTTTCCATTGACCATGAAAATTCGCAAATTAGAACTTCGAAAATAAATTTGCTAAATGGAAACACATCAATTTCAAAAAAATATGTTTTTCGACAAAATGTTTCTGCGCTAGGATGAGGTGGTTTTATGGCCGTATTGAAATTGGTGTTTTTTGCAAAACTGCAATGGAAACACTATGTTCTCATCACGGGAGTCACGTGATCAACAACCGGCTGTTTCTACTGGCGGAAAACACGATGACGAAGAAGATAACAGGAAGTAGAAGTAGTAGTAATATCACAGAAGTACAGTGGTTTGCAAAAGTATTCATACCCCTTGAACTTTTCCATATTTTGTCACATTACAACCACAAACATAAATATATTTCACTGGAATTTAATGTGAAAGACCAACACAAAGTGGTATACAATTGTGAAGTGGAAGCAAAATTTTACATGAATCAAAACATTTTTTACAAATAAAAAACTGAAAAGTGCGATGTGCAAAATTATTCAGCCCCCCTGAGTCAATACTTTGTGGAGCCACCTTTTGCTGCAATTACAGCTGCAAGTCTTTTAGGGTATGTCTCCACCAGCTTTGCACATCTAGTGACTGCAATTCTTGCCCATTCCTCCTTGCAAAACAGCTCAAGCTCAGTCAGATTGGATGGAGAGCGTTTGTGAACAGCAGTTTTGAGATCTTGCCACAAATTCTCAATTGGGTTTAGGTCTGGACTTTGACTGGGCCATTCTAACACATGAATATTCTTTTTTTAAACCACTCCATTGTAGCTTTGGCTTTATGTTTAGGGTCGTTGTCCTGCTGGAAGGTGAACCTCCGCCCCAGTCTCAAATCTTTTGCTGACTCCAACAGGTTTTCTTCCAAGATTGCCCTGTATTTGGCTCCATCCATCTTCCCATCAACTTTGACCAACTTCCCGGTCCCTGCTGAAGAGAAGCACCCCCAGAGCATGATGCTGCCACCACCATATTTGACAGTGGGGATGGTGTTTTCAGAGTGATGTGCAGTGTTCTTTCTCCGCCACACATAGCGTTTTGCATTGTGGCCAAAAAGTTCAATTTTGGTCTCGTCTGACCAAAGCACCTTCTTCCACATGTTTGCTGTGTCCTCAACATGGCTTCTGGCAAACTGCAAACGGGACTTCTTATGGTTTTCTTTTAACAATGGCTTTCTCCTTGCCACTCTTCCATAAAGACCACATTTGTGTAGTGCACGACTAATTGTTGTCCTGTGGACAGTTTCCCCCACCTGAGCTGTGGCTCTCTGCATTTCATCCAGAGTCACCATGGGCCTCTTGGCTGCCTCTCTGATCAGTGATCTCCTTGTTCGGCCTGTAAGTTTAGGTGGACGGCCTTGTCTTGGCAGGTTTACTGTGGTGCCATACTCTTTCCATTTCCGGATGATGGATTGAACAGTGCTCCGTGAGATGTTCAAAGCTTGGGAAATCTTTTTATAACCTAAGCCTGCTTTAAACTTCTCCAAAACCATATTCCTAACCTGTCTGGTGTGTTCTTTGGACTTCATGATGCTGTTTGCTCCCCAATATTCTCTTAACCAACATCTGAGGCCGTCACGGAGCAGCTGTATTTGTACTGAGATTAGATTACACACAGGTGGACCCTTTTGAGTCATTAGCAGTCATCAGGCAACTTCTGAATGCAATTGGTTGCACTCAGGGAAAAGGGGGCTGAATACTTTTGCACGTCGCACTTTTCAGTTTTTTATTTGTAAAAAATGTTTTGATTCATGTAAAATTTTGCTTCCACTTCACAATTGTATACCACTTTGTGTTGGTCTTTCACATTAAATTCCAGTGAAATATATTTATGTTTGTGGTTGTAATGTGACAAAATATGGAAAAGTTCAAGGGGTATGAATACTTTTGCAAACCACTGTAGTATTAAATAGTAAACTCACCAACTACAATTTCCCAAAAACACAGCATACGTAGCCGCTTCCAAGTAGGGCTTCTCGCTGGAAAACCTCGATAAAAGACGCTGACGTCTCCTCTGATGATGAGCGCTAGTGTCGCGGTAGCAATATGCTATGTGTTTACATCCATTGCCGCCATGTTTGTAATGACTTATCGCGAGAACAAACGTATTCACGCGACTTTAATAGCATTTCTTACTTAATGGTAACACCGCAGTTGCGAAACTTTTTTCGACGTTAACAGAATATCGACAAAGTTTTGCGTACATTTGCAATGGAAACGCAGCCAATGACACAGATGCAGTTCAGACCAAATGCAATCGGGACTAAAAGCAGAAGACTAACAGATCCAGGCCTCCAATCATAGCCCTCTTTGTGGGAACTTGGTTTTAACTCGATATGTTTTTATTCAGTGGAAAACAGAGACTCAAAAACAAATATCCACAAAAGAAAGATTTTAAAGAATGAGACAAACAGAGGCTTCACATTCTACAAAACCATTTCAACACAAAATCGCTTTTTTATAGTAAATAATGCTTTGTGCTTTTAGATATTGTTAAAACCCTTTTTTTGTAAATTTGCAGAAATGGCTGTTAAAAGATATTTTTCTTCTAGTCTTCGTCATTAAAAAAATGGATCCACACACAAACAAACTGGACTGGAAGATGTGTTGGCTGTCATACTCAATTTTATTTTATTCTTAAAAGGATACCAAATAATGTCCTTGTGTTCATTTAGTCTCTCTGTAAAAGTGATAACATACATATCACTGGCAGACCTGAAAATTTCTTCTGACATCCCTGCAATTATTTCAGACTTTTAGAAACAGCTTCTACTTCTTTAGGTTCTGTTAAGTGTGTCAGAGTTATTTCTTTGGACAAATAAAATAAAAAGATAAAATAAAAAAATAAAACTCAGTGAAAAGCTGAGGCTTTTTCTGCAGAATAAAATAGCTCTTATTAATCTGTGTTATGTGTTAACGCTGAACAGGTAGCCTGACCCAGTGTGTGCCTTTGTATTTGTGTGTTTGTGTTGCGGGTGTAGTGTAAGTGCTATCTTTTGTGTCGGAGCTACAAAAAGGATAGAAATGCCAAGGTGAAAGCATTATGTAAATTTTAAACCTGAACAATGTGTTTGAGTGTGGAGCCATTATATGTGACAGACAATAGGCAGCAGCACTGAGAGTCCGCAGCTCGGACAATATGATCCTCATCACCGACCAAGGACAGAATTATTTTATTTTTTTGATCCTGTCCCTTTGTTCACACTGAGATTCTACAGAATCCACCCACAAAAACCAAAATTATGGAATTAATTAGGATTTGGAAAACCAGATATTGTTGAAATGGATGTGTTTGAGTTTCAAATTAGAAACATGCACTGCTTCTGTGGTCTTCAGGGTTCAATTTCTCTTCATTATTTTTGAGCCACATGCTAAATGTAAAAGGCTAAGTTCCATGTTTCTTCTGCGCTTCCTGCCTTCATGCTTTGCATTCAGATGATTTTAAAAAAAATCGTTCAGTTTTTGTCACATTGCACTACAAATTGCACATTAAATCTGTGCACTTCTTTACTTTCTCTCCACGTGGATCGGGCATCCCACACATCTAACGCTGTGGCTTCCCTCCAGTTGGTGCCATTAGTTCACTTCAGGCTGAAATCATGAAAGGAAAGGCTTTTGTCAGCAAAATATAAGTGAAAGAAGCAAATCCTGTGAAAATGTTTCATAGTCGAACCTGTGGAAAGCTCATGCCCCCCTTTGTCTTCAGATCATAATGATCTCTTAGTGTGTGTGTTTTTGGCTATGTGCTGCAGAGTTGTTCATGTTTTCTTGTTCTCTAAAAGCACACAAG